AACAGTCAGGAACTCAGCATAGTAAGAGATCAAAAAAAGAAAGCTACTTATCACTTTATAGATTAAGAAGTATGAATTCACAGTTTTAAAAACATTCAGCAAGCCCTGTGGTGGTACGCGCCTGTAATCCTCGCACTCAGAAGGCACAGGGAGATAGATCTCTCTAAGTTTGAGGCCAGCTTGATCTACAGAGAGTTCAAGAACAGCTAGACTGTTAAAAAGAGATACCCTGTCTTGAAAAAGCAAAAATAAAATAAAAATAAAAAACCTCAGTAAATTTGCAATACAGGGAACATACCCAATTTGGTAAAATGTGTCTCCAAAATACCTATAGCTCAGGCTGGAGAAATAGCTCAGTAGTTAAGAGCACTTGTTGTCTTGCAGAGGGCCCTATTGTTGAATATTAATATTTATTACTGATTTATCTTTTAGTTAATCAGCAATTATTCCTAAACCAGCTGTATACCCAAATCACCACACAGAGACTGGGCTTTATTTAATTAACCTAGAGCACAATGCTGGCCAATAGTTACTCCATCCTAAACCTCCAAGCCCACATAGTTTCCTACCATTCAGATTTCACCCATTAGACTTGATTTTAGTCATATCTTAGGTGGGGCTCATCCCTCCTCAAGGTTCAAAGTCCTCTCCTGCTGATCTCTGCTCTCCGCCTCCTCCCAATTACTTTTTTCTCCTTGCCTCTGGACCAGGATGTCCCACCTTATTCTCTCCATTGATCAGCATTGTGGCTGGTTGTTTAATTGAAGTTACAGAGAACAAAGGGTGGCATGTTTACACAAACTTGAGACAGGTGATGCTTAGAATAAGCATCACAATGCAATGTCCTGATTGAAACCAGATAGTGGGGGCTGGAGAGACAGCTCAGTGGTTAAGAGCACTGGCTGCTCTTCCAAAGGAATTGAGTTCAATTCCCAGCAGACCACATGGCAACTTATAACTGTCTGTAACTCCTGTTCCAGGGGATCCGACACCCTCATACAGATAAACATGCAGGCTAAACACCAATGTACATAAAAAATACAAATAAATAATATTTTAAAAAAAAGAAACCAGATAGTGGAGTAGAGGAATCAGCATTTGAACGAACAAAGGTAAATTATATACATTCCAAAAGATTACACCAACAGGGCCCAGAATTGATTCTCAGAACCCACAAGGAGGCTCACAACTACCTATAATTCCAATGCTAGGAGAGTTAGGATTTTGGAACAAAACCTGCTTCTGGGTTGCCTAGCAACTTAAAATGTCATCATGTGTCGTCAACCAGGTGGCCACACCTAGAAGGCATGGTTACCTTGCCCCTTAAAAGGACGACCTGACATGTATCTCTCTCTCTTGGTCCTTTCTCTCTTGGTCCCTTGTTCTCTTAGTCCTTCTTCTCTTTGGGGGCACCCCCTCTCTCTTCCTCCTTCTCTCTCTTTCCCTCTTTCTTTCCCCCATCATGTCCTGCTCTCCCTTCTCTCTCTCCATATCCACCTTAATAAACCTCTTTTATATATAAGATCTGTCTGCCGTATGCCTGATCGTCTTTATTTAATTAGTTTGTCCCATAACCTTACAGGGGGATCTGACCTTTGTAGATATTGCATGCACATGGTGTATATCCACATGCCAGCCAAACGCCTATACCCATAAGATGAAAATAAACTTTGAAAAAGACTTAAATACTTAAAGTATTTGAACTAAAAAGTAAATGTCATTTAGTGTTGTGGTAATAACTAAGTTAGTTAATTAGCATAGTGTGGCATGTACGCATATGTGTCATGTGTGTGAAGTCCAGAGGTTGACATTGCATGTTATCCTTCAATCATTTCTTTACTTTTTTTTTGACAGTGCCTCTCACTGAGTCTGGAACCACCGCTTATATCCAGCAAGCCCCAGTTTCCTCATGTCTCCACCTTCTCATTGTTGGAATGATGGGTATAATCACTATGCCCAGCTTTTATGTTGGTGCTGGGAACCTAAACTCAGGTCTGACTGATCTATCTCCTCAACTCTCTATCATTTCTTAAACCAAAGGAATGGATTTAAGCTAAAAGTTCAATGATAAAAAAAATTGTTAAGTTATGATACATCTGTTATAAGAAATATTACACAATGGTTTGAAAATGAAGTAAATCTGCACATGCTAACTTGGGAAAATGTATACACTAGTTGTAGAAAGGAAGAGAAAATTATTGGACAATATTATTTATGTGAAAATAAAATTACATATTTTCTAGGAAATGTTCTAGAATGATAACACACATCTAAAAGCTCTTGTCCTTAGCGACAATCTGAGAAGGGTACAATGTGGGGGAACATTTCATTCAATTCATTCCAACAATGTTTGAATTTTGATAAGAATAAACGTCTAGATTACATGTGAAACAAAAAGAGGAATCAACTTTGTCTAAAAAGTGGGAAGAGCAATGATAAAAACTAACATTTTAATGGCCTTGGCTCATGTAATCAACCGGACGAAATACAATGTACTGAAAGATGTGCCTGAAAGCAAACTGTGCTTCCATTTGTTACTACGAACCTTGATGAACTAAGTTATTGTGGCCAGTTGTGCTAACTAGCTTTGTTACTTTACTGTGTTAAATATATTATGACTATGGAATCTGTGAGGACCAGAACCAAGTCTTTTCTATTTCTTCCAAACACCAAACACTGAGACTATTTTAGAGATGGCACCCAGTTAATGGAAGGAAGTAGAAACAACTCAGAAGAGCTGGATTAAACAGACTAACAGCACTGTCTGGCCTTGTTGAAATAGCTCATCATTGCCCTCTCCTGGCAAAAGGGATTTCTGCAGCACTTAGTGATCAGAGGAAACAATCTTTGAGATATTTTCCAAGGATTAAAAAAAAAGTCTCAATAAAAGGAAAAAAAAAGTTCCAACCAGAGACTAAAAGGTAAAAGTTTGTGCCTTGGAATGTTGGTAATATGGCACCTGGGTTCTCTTCTGTTTTCAATCTTGTCCATCATCACATCTATTCATAATCTATTCATAATCCACTCTTACTGCAACAGGTCCATTTTACCAAAAAATAACAAATTACAAAAGGTCTACATATCCAAGTCTTCCCAAAAATCATCAAACACTAATAAACTCTCCTGAATCAGCCTGCTGAAGACAAAATACAAACCAAAATTGGGGTATTGGGGAGAGACGTGGGGGGGGGGCACTCCTGCATAAACCTTGTTCTCCAGATTCACCATCTTGAATCAGCTATTGGAAAGTTTGTGCAACTCTGAAAACTTCCAGTAATCCTTTAAATTACTCTCATTAAGGGCACCAAGGAAAGCCACCCAGGGAACAATACTGCAGGCCTCACCTGCCCATGTAGGGCATAGGAGCATGTTTTTGCTTGCTCAGTATCAATACATCTTCAAAGGAGCTGAAAAGTTAGGCAAGAAGCTTGGTGGTGCAAAGGATGAGAGATGTGGGATTCTGTGCTTTAGAATTTGTGAAATCAAAAAAATAATTCAGGGCTGGGTATGGTGGTGCACACCTTTAATCTCAGCGCTCCTGAGAAACAGAGGCAGGCAGATCTCTGTGAGTTGAAGCCAGACTGGTCTGTACAGTGCATTCTAGGACAGCCAGGGTTATATAGAAAAAAAAAAAAAGAGGGACATACTGGTATTATTCAAAGACATTTTTATATTCTGCATTTATGACGGCTACATACTAAGTAGAACAATATTCTTTGATTCAGCAGCACAAACAACAAAATCCTTTCCAACGACTCATAAAAGCGAGACTCTGTCTAACCCAGATATTGGGGGGGGGGGGCATTGAGCAACCTGATATTTAGGAAAAACTTCTGTTACAAATTTTAGAAAAATCCATACATTATTGATCTCTTCTTACGATTCTACCCCCCGAATTTCTACATGATATGTGCTCTTTAATATGGAAACAAAAGTACAAGCTGGTGAAATATGGGCTAAACAGGAATACCAATTGGAAAACGATGGGCACAAGTACCAGATAGAACCCCATTTGTGGTGGGATGCCTTAGTTGAGTACAAACCTGGGCGGGGTTGTTCCCACCAGCATGCTTTGGTTTCTCAGAGAAATTAGGAATTATGAAAGGCAGGGATTCATCAAGTTACTTATACCACCTACCACCTACCATCCCCCACCCCCACCCCACCCCGCCAAAAGGCAAGAAATCCTATTATCTATTTATACGCAGACCCCTGAGGGCTGAAGTGGTTCTTGCTAATGGCTAAAGACAGCTCAGTAGCAATCAGGTCTTTCAGCAGAATATTTTTAAGATCTTATCCTGAAAATACTAGGTATAATGAACTTTTGAGTTGTGTGCAGCTTATTTAAAGATGGTCCTATGATGTGCAGAAAAAAATGGACTTTTCTGAGTGTCCCCTATTTCATAACAGTACATGTCAATGATTCCTGTTGAACTAGAAAAGCGCGGTATCATCATAAAGAATAAGCTGAGAAGGCACATGATCATAAAAGAGTTACATTGTATAGTAAGAGTGTTCTATGATAGCAACAACGACAGTACTCGTTACAGTCCAAGAAGAATGCAGCAGCTTCACTGAGTGGCCCACACAGGTTTCCTCTTACTGTCCACTTCCCTGTCCCTCGCCCCGTTCTCCTCGCTGAGAAATGGAACTCCAGTCAGAGACAGGGCACCCTTTAGAGATGTGTCTCTGGTTGCTCCAGCATATAAACTGGCATTGGGGGTTTCAGCCTCAACCCACCTCCCTCTACCGCTGACTGTGGCATTATAGAGACGCTGAACACAGCTGGCAAGAGGCACCAGGCCAGCCTGCAGCAGCAACACAGCTCGACGTGTGATTTCACTTTCCGTCGTCCATTGGCCTCGCCTGCAGCTACAGCGCAGGGAACAGCTACGTTTGGCGCGCCGAGAGCCAGGGACTCCCCAGGACCACGCATGGCTACCCCACCGACAGAGAACCGAGGACCTGAAGGCCAGGGGTGAGTTGGTGCCGCTACTCACATAGCGCTGCAGCTTCCTCTCGGGGGGCGACTTGACGAGCCAGCCCGTGCACACGGCGTCGCCAGTGCTCATCGTGGCCGCCTCTGCCGCTGCCGCTGCTTCCTCCAGCTGGGCTGGGCGCCTGCAGCAGGAGGAAGTCTAGCCAGGGATGCCGCGGGGCGGGCTCGCCCGCATAGCACCGCCCCAAGCAGCAGAGCGACGCCCCCTCCTCTGGGTCCCCCAGACTTGAACCTAGACGGTGGGGGCAAAAAGTAAGCAGCAAAGTTAAGGAGGCCCCTTCGAGCAACTGCTGTGCCCCAAGAGGCTCTGCCTCTGGAGACGCCAAACAGGACGTCCTGCTGCTGCATCCCAGGTGCCCAGAGATGATCCGAATTCAGCAGTCATACTATCTGCAACCTCTTTGACTCTGGAGTTTTAAAACATGAGTCTAAGGTTGGGCCAGGTTGTATGTTGGGTACTTTAATAACAAAAATAAACAACTAATATTTATGGTGACTATTGAGTACCATATGCCAGCCATTTGTCGTAAGTGCTTCACAGCATCTACACAAACACCCTATAAGCTATATTAAGTCAATTTTGCCGATGCACAAGATGAGAAACAGAATAATGTCTCCTGTATAGAGCACACACTCAGGGAGTCTCCTATAGTGGTTAGAGTAAGTTGTCTGTCTCAAGAGTCATCCCTCCAAACACCACCTAGTCTTTATGAACTCACTTTAAAAAACGGGAAAGCACCATAGTAAAGTTAGAATTAACATCCATGATGTGAATACAAACTGTGTGCTGTTTTGTGGCATCTGGTCAGCTTCCTAATCTGCAATCATCTATTTTCCCTGATTCAGTACTTCTCACTTGGAAATGACATTTAGAAGCAGTAAGAAACTTACAAAACTATTTCTCACCACACACATTCACAATGTCTGAAGAGACATGACCATCTATGTGGCAGGGTTCGTTATCACTGTACAACCAGGGATCAATGGAGAGAATTCATTCTAGGTGTTACAGGTGGAAAGGGATTAATTTCACAAAGGTAGTGCTTTGCAAATTCATTGGCAGTGCAGGAGCAATGAAATCAGAGAGTTCCACTAGTCAGGGATTCAGGGCATACCCAGAGTTCAAAGGAGCACAAAGCAGAGGCTGAGAGTCTGTTTCTGTCACAAAGCTGGATTCCAGGTGCTGCCAATTGATTCTCAGACCCATTTCACTCTGACAATCATTGCAACCATCTGCCTCCTCCCTAATTTCCAAGTCTCACACTAAGCCTATGTAATTAGCCAAACACATTTCTTATGGAGAAATCTAGATAAGAGAATGTTAAATAGCTTTATTTAGCTTTTATAACTCTCCAAACATAGAGGGGAATCTAAGTTGAGACACACAGAATACTGCTCTTGCTACTGAATACACACATACTATAGAAACAACTTATTCACACAAAGCAGCAATGTTGGGTATAATGTTCTTGTGGAATGTATACAATTTACACTTGTTCATTCAAATGCTGATTTCTCTACCCCACTAATTGGTTTCAATCCGGACACTGCATTGTGATGTTTATACTAAGCATCACCTCTGTAATTTCAATAAAACAACCAGCCACAATGCTGAGCAATCGAGAGAATAAGGTGAGACATCCTAGTCCAGAGGGCAGGAGAAAGAAGCGAGTGGGAGGAGTCGGAGAACAGAGATCAGCAGGACAGGACTTGGAACCAACCACCAGAAGAGATTAACTGAATCTAAACTATGACTAAAAGCAAATATACTGTTGGAAATTCTGAACTGGAGGAAGCTATGTGGGCTTGGAGGTTTACGATGGAGTAACTATTGCCCAGCATTGTGCTCTAGGTTAATTAAATAAATCCTAGTCTCTGTGTGGTGATTTGGGTATGCAGCTGGTTTTGGCATAACCACTGATAACTAAAAGATAAATCAATAATAAATATTAATAACCCACAACAAAAGGTGCCCAACATGGGGCAGAATTTACAGTAATATAGCAAGAATTTACACAGAAAGTAAAACTATAGAGCAGTTTTTTAGTTCTGTTCCTTAAAAACAAAGCAAAGGCAGTTCCTAAACTAGGAGCTCAGAGATTCCTATCAGACAGACCCCCTGTAGAGCAGCAAGGCCTTCAGCAGGATGCGGAAAACAAAAAATTATACATACAAACCCCAGAGAGGCAGTTTCTTTAGGTAGAGAAAAAAAAAAAAGTGGCTCTTAACAAGGAAGCTTCGCAAAAACCAGACTTTGCTAGCCAAGGCAGAAAGAAAAATCCCTTAAGGGTTCTTGCCGGTCTGAAGAGCAAACATTTGTGGACCCAATTACTTCCCAGAGTGAGGAAGGGGTCAGGTTCCAGTGAGGAAGGCAGAAAAAATACCTCTCCCTGGAAGCAGGAGTCAGAAACAGACTGAGAAGCCTTAAGCATCTGAACTGGTAAGGTCTAAAAAGGAAGTTGGGTCTAAGAAAGTAAAGTCCTTAGGGAAAGGTTTTGAGATTTAAAAAGATAATTTTCTATGTTGAATATGAAGAAAGACACAATGGCAGAGTGCTTCAGGATACCATTTGAGTTTGTTTCTCTTAGCATACAAATAATTATTTCAGTGAGGATTTCAGTTTTGTATATCCTCTTTGGGTGAGATCAGGACCAGACAGGCTTGGAAAAAGAAGAGACTGAGAAAACAAATGAAAAATTAAAGGCCATAGAACAGAGGTTGGGGGAATCATTGAATAAAGAGAGAAAGCCTTCAAAGCAATCCAATCTGGTACTAACAATAACACCAAAAGAGGTGGTTCCAGATAAGAAAAGTCTACAGAGGCTTAAAGATATTACAAAATGGCAGCCCATTGAGATGCTAGAGAGAAAGTCTTCAACTATAGGCCAACTTGGTCAGACTAAATATTATTATATATATATATATATATATATATATATATATATATATATATTCTTAAGGTTCAGTTACTAGATAAAGGTCTATATGCTAAAGTAGAAATGCAGATCCTGTTTAGTTTTGTCTTAGAACAAGGTCATACAGTGGCTGGTGTGCTCCATTTTACAAAGTTTGAAGAACTTAAATACATGCATCATGCTATAGATTCATATTCAGAATTCCAGTGGGCTTTTGCCTTAAATTCTGGAGAGCATGATCCTAAGGTTACATGTTTGTTAGAGATGGTGAATGTTTTGGAGATGCCCATGAAAACTGGGGCTGATGGTGCTTCAGCATGTATATCCACTGGACTACAACAGTATTTTAGACATGACATGAAACCTGTTACAGATATAACATAATCCTACAGGCCAAAAAATTATAAAAATATCTAATAGTAGTTTTTAAAAGATGGTCATAAAACAGAAGGGAAATATATCTCCCCAAAAGAGATTAAATAATGATTTATCAATTTTAAAATGTTTAAATAAGTAGCACACCTGCAAGACACAATGGAATAGAGAAAAAAAAAACTGCTGAATTAGAGCAACATGTAAAGGTCCTAATTTCAAAATGGAAAACAGGGACTATGTTATGCTCGAGAAGAGGTTTTATGTAGGAGAAGAGAAATTATGGGTTCCATCAAAACTAATAAAAACCAGATATGGCAAAGGAAGACCACCTGAAGATCTTGGCCACACACAGGAAGAGAGAAATCAAGAAGACTAAACAGAACAGGTAACATAAATTGCTGATTCCTTCACATGGGAACAACTCTGAAACTGACTGAGACATAAAAATAATGTCTCCAGCCAGAACTTCAATATTACACGGCCAATAAATCCTTGGTCTCAATATCCTCAATATTTATTATGTCATTTTTTAATGGCATAGATAAAATTGGTTTACAATTTAGTTTCATCCTGCACATCTTACACATTTAAAATTTTAGGACTGTATAATGCTTGTGAGAAATTATATGCAGAACAAAAGGACTAGACACCTGAGACCCTGGCTCAAACCTGACAGAATTCATCCTTCCAGTATGCTGAGACATTGACACATCTGTTCCAGCATCTTGCATGTTCCAGCATTCTGCTGGTTCCTGCCTCAACTGCTTCAATTGCTGTTTCTCATCAAAGCCTGGTCTCAAGAGACTTTTGAAGAAAACTACTAATCTTAATTGGTCCAGCATTTTAGACTGCTCCAAACAGGACTTATATTAAGCCTGAAATTTCTCAACATTCAAAGACTGGACCACAAATGTTAATGCTTGCTTAATTAACCATTTTTCCTAATTTCCTTTGGGTTCCCTAACAGGATTTCTTCATGTCCAAAAACTCAACTGGAAAAAAATTATGAGAACGATGTCCAATTTCCTTTAAGGGGGATTGGATAGGTTTTTGGTTGTTTTCTGTGGCTATGAATGTTTATTGTCATTGGGAGATAGTTATAAATTATTAATGGTCTTATTCAGAGAGAAAACAAGGTTAGATGCAGGGATTTCTCTCTTTTCCTTTCTCTTTTCTCTATTTTTTTTTTCTTAGATAAGGAGAAAAGGGGTTGAAAAGAAAGAAAGGGGAATACAGGTATATCTTATAGGAATAATAAGACAAAAGGTAGATTATTGAATCTACTCAGGTTAGGGTTTTATTTGTTAGTCTCAAATAAGGTTATTTTTTAATTCTGGTATAGGATTTTGTATATTGATGCAAAAATAAATCTATTTTTAATACATTGGTAAATTTTAGTATATTGATACAAATTCAAGGTTACTTCTAATATTTTTAAACTGCTATTATAAACTGTTTAGGGTATTAGGTAATGCGAGTTAATTGCTAGTTAATCAACTCATAGTCATGTCTATAATTTATCACAGGAGTATACATCCTATGTTTAACAGATAGATATGATTTTATAAACAGATCGATTGCATAAAGATTGCAAAAACTTCAGAGACCTACAGTATATGGCATTTTAAAATGTTTTTATTATTTTAAGGCTGCTTTGACGATGAGACAGGTCATCTCCTGGCAGCACCCCGCCTACCTCAAAGAAGATGATGAGCATCAAAGAACTTCCATATGGAGATGGCTTCAAATGTGACAAACAAGCCATCCGGGCAAAAAGAAAATG